CCCTTAATCATTTATTGTTGCCCTTCCATTTATTTTCTATTTCTAATGTATCTTTTTTAAGGTGGGATGACCAGAACTGCATGAAGTATTCAAAGTGTGGGCCTGCCATGTATTTGTATAGTACCATTGTGATTGTTGCTATATACTCACAGGTATTGCATATTTTCTTCTATTTATTCTCTTTTGTCAATAAAATAAATTAGCAGAAATAACTTACTTTGTGAAAGTAGCACAAGTATTTATTTATAGAGAACAGGATGACTCATAAGGTTAGGAATGGAACAGAACAGCATTCATTCCTGTGTCCAGAAAGGTTGGCAGTGAATGAAAGTCAGATGTTAGATTTACAGGACAAATGACCAGGAAATCTCTTCTTCACTCAATTGGAGATTAGTACTCTTTTTTGCTTTTTGCCTATTTGCCACCTTCCTAGCTCTCCATGATTTTTCACAAATACTTGTTAATAGTGCAGGAAATTCACTACATAATTCTCTTAAAGTCAGATTGTGATTGCATTATTAACACTGAGTAGTACCTTGTTCTACATGTAGCTAATGTAACCATGAAAGACATCACACTAATTTACAACTCATGCCATCCAGGCCAGCTAATTTTCATACATTCGAATACCCCAAGTTCATTCCCTTACTCAAACTTTGTCAATAGCTATTTTAACAAAGACTTCCTTATTTCCAAACTTCTTTTCTCTTTCTTTTCTAAGACATATTTAAAGAAAAAAGAGTTTGGTATCCCAGCTATATTAAACGCATCATTAATTTCATCGTATTCCTCATTTATTAAAAGTGCTTAAATATTTATAAAACCTTCCTGCTTCCCCTGTGGCTAGAATTAATTCATTTTGTTTCTGTGCCCTTATATTTTTTCCTACTAGACATGGCTCATGCTGTGCATTTTTGTTTGGTTGATTACTCCCCTGAATCCTTCTCCTGTTTCAGTATGGGGGGGAGGGGGGAGAGTGTTTAAATCTCAGCTCCTTTAGCAGTTTTCTGTGATACTATATTGTCTGTTCTTTTTCTTTACATTCTCATTTTCCCCCAGATTTGTTGTATCTTAATTATGGCATATTTTAAAAATCCCCAGCTACCAATGGTTTTAATGTTCCCTGTCTAACAGCTCTTTCACTAGATTACCCAATCACTCCAGATTTCCTCTCTTGAAATCCTTTTGCTGTCAGAGAATCCATTTCTTTCTCAATCCAAAAAGCTTGTGGTTCACAGGGACAAAGCTTCCCATATATTTTCACAGCCTCCTTCCTTTTCTCCCTATCTGTAAGACCATTATTTCAGGATGGCTCCTCCATTAGTTGGAGTCTTTTATTTCTGACTTTCAATGCTGCCCAGTGTTCCCTCTAAGATGTGTGCTTGAGCAGCTGCTCAGGAGGAAATCAAATGCCGCCCCGCTGATTAGCAGAGCACCCACAGTTAGGCTTTTTGTTTCTCCTGGTGATGCACATTCACACATACCTTGGTGCACATACAAAATGTATTTGCCTTCAGCGCAGCAGTGAGCCCCACAGGGATCCCAGTGTTGTAGGCAGGCTATAAACTATAGGATAGTAAGAACTACTCCGGGCCCTGGAGATTTATTTTACAGTCTAAGAAAACAAGCGGACAAAGAAAATGAAACTGGTTCACAGAATAAACTTAAAAACAACAAACAGTCTTGCAGCACCTTAGAAACTTCTTTACATTTTTCAGTTACAGTCTAACATGGCTACCGCTCTGAAACTTTAGGTTCACAGAAAGAATGGTTACTTACTTACTCATAACTGTTGTTCTTTGAGATGTGTTGCTCATGTCCATTCCATGTAGGTGTGCGCGCGCAGAGTGCATGCATCATCAGAGATTATTCCCTCAGCAGTACCCGTTGAGCCAGCCAGGGAGACCCCTGGAGTGGCGCCTATGTATCAGCGCATATATACCCCTGCTCACCCTCTGCCCCCTCAAGAAGGGGAGGCAGATGGGATTTGGAATGGACATGAGCAATACATCTCGAAGAACAACAGTTATGAGGTTCTTTCTTCTTCGAGCGATTGCTCATGTGCATTCCATGTAGGTGACTCCAAAGCAGAACCTGAGGAGGAGGGGTCGGAGTTTTAACCTTCCACGGAATAGAGGACTGCCCTGCCCAGAGCAGTGTACTCTCTGGTCTGATGTGACAGCACATAGTGGTTGGCAAAGGTGTGGATGGAGGACCAAGTGGCAGCCCTGCAGATCTCCAGGATCAGGACCTGCACCGTGAAGGCCATGTGAAGACCCAGGTGGTGGTGGCTGGCTTGGTGGAGCCCCGCACCCCGATGGTCTTGGAGATGCCTGACTGGGAGGTAGCGACTGCACCGACGTCAGAGATCAAACCAGGAGAGTTGCCGATGGAGGGGCCTGAGGCCCTGAGATGACTGACCCTGCCCTCAAAAGATCCGCACCTTGGCTCTGGTGGTAGGCCCCGGGGTCCAGAATGGCCACTGACCCAAAGGTTGTGGGGGCCATGTATGTTGCATCATCAGCACTGGAACCGACTGTGCCCCATGCTGCTGATGGTGGTGAGCAGAGGAGCTGCAGTGCTGGGATCGGTGCCACAAGTGGGACCGGTGCCGAGAGCAGGATCTGGAGCCTCATGATGACCAAGTTCACTCTGCCTCTGAGTCAGTCAAGTACTCCAAAGCTGACCAGGGGAGGGCCATCCGGGGTTCTGCCTAGGTTGCCACCAGAGCATGTCCGGCCATTGACTCAGGTTTGCCATGGTGCCAGGGAGGTGGAGGTTGCATAGCTGGGCCGGGTGCTGATAAGCTCTGGGCAGAGATAGGAGCCACGGAGCTGGGTGCCGTGGATGATACCGCACGGTGGTACCATATCAGTGCTGGGCTTGGTGCTGTGTCCCGTGCCACATCCGGTACCGGGGTCAAGTCAGTTGTCGGTGCTACAGTCAGTGCCGAGATCGGTGCCAGAGTTGTGGGCTGCACTGAGTGGTATTTTCTGGCGTCCTTGACTATGTCGTTGGATGTCCTCGATGTCGGTTGGTGCCGGTCATTCCTATGACCTCTAGTGGGGGTCAGTGTTGGGGGAGATGAGAGGACAACTCAATCAAATCCCTGGCCACCTTGAAGGCCTCTAAAGTGGAGGGTTCTGGGAAGTCCCCCAGTGGGCTGGGATCTCGATGTGGAGATAAATGTCCACCTGACCAAGATGGTCCGAGTTCAGCGCTTGATGGTGCCACATGCCCTACTGAAGGGCACACAGAGGGCATGCACCTCAGAGGCGATCTACCTCTGTTAGGCATCTTCTTCTTGTGGCACCAGGGACTGCGACTGGTGCTGAGGCCTGTGAAGTGCAGGGGAGGCGCGAGAGTGTGCCGAATCCTCCCACACCTTAATAAGCTATTCTGGAAGAAATACTCAGGAATAGCTCATTTCAAAATAGCATGTCTACACTATAGGGAAGACTCATTATTAGTGTGAGGCAGGCTCCCTTAATGTGGATGCGCTACCTCGATGAAGAGCCCCAGAAAGCACCGAAATTACTTTGAATTCCCTAGGGGTATGTCTACACTACCTCGCTAGTTTGAACTAGCGGGGTAATGTAGGCATACCGCACTTGCAAATGAAGCCTGGGATTTGAATTTCCCGGGCTTCATTTGCATAAGCCGGGTGCCGCCATTTTTAAATCCCGGCTGGTTCGAACCCCGTGCCGCGCGGCTACACGCGGCACGAACTAGGTAGTTCGGACTAGGCTTCCTAGTTCAAACTACCATTACTCCTCATTCCACAAGGAGTAACGGTAGTTCAAACTACGAAGCCTAGTCCGA